ACAAGGATCATCTTCATCTACTTCGATAGTTATCTTTTTCTTTGACTTTTCATTCTTCATTTCATTCTTTCGTGTTGAAGCTGAATTATTTTCCATTTTTTTTAAACGACAATCACGTGTGCTTTATGATATTTAATAATTCTATTATATATTTTGAATTCCTTTTTAAAAGCTGTTCAGCACTCCTGTCATTAAAAAATTTTTTTTCGTTGCTTTTCGCTTGTTTAAATTTTTGCTATATATACAATGAGAATAATTAAATTAGCATCTTTATTAACATGAAACCGATCATATAAAGCGGTACAAAAAAATTTTTTTTTAAATAGCATACAATACGCAACGCATAATTAATCACAGCTAACATAAGGCCATTTATCTTCTATGTCTGTGATGCTGAAATATTTCCAACATTTTTGGATCAAATAAATCTGAATCGCTTCAAATGATGCGTACACTATACAGTAGTAGCGTATATCATTTTTATAGGAAGAGAATAATACAAATTGTATATGTATGATATACAAACACTTATAAGAACAAGCGCTATAGTGACTAATGCGTAAATCGCATAAATCAAGCATAGAGTTAACATCAAGCTGCTTCCCGGCGAACACATTGTGGTAAACAAATAAAATCTCTAATGAGATTTATTTTAACTTTCAATATTATACGCCGAGCGGTATATAAATATAATATATACGCGCATATAAACGATTTCTATATAAAAATATCATCCATACATGTCGATATTATCCACTAAGATTGAGAACACACGCTTTTATCATTTCTTGTATAGAAGTGTTAGATATTTCAATCTATCTATAGTAAAATATATAAAATGCATATTTTCAAATATTCAGTCGTAAGCAATACGACTTTTGATAGAATCTATAAAAATAGTTCTTAGACTCTAAAAATAGAGTCTGAGGATACTAAAAAATGCAAATTTTCAATATTATTTAATGATATAATCCAGAAAAAATTGTATTTAACAACAATTAATATCTTATCAATCTGACGATTTCTCTAGAAGAAATCACAGTTCATTGCAATTCATTTGTAGAAAAAATATGTACATCGCTGAACACAATTATGAATACAATTATCAGAAGTCAACAAGTGGAGAATAATTTTCAATGAAATTATTGAATCATGTTAAGATCATGTAAGTTAAAAATATAATTTATTATTATCCACTTGATACTTCCATTAATAAAAGGCACTATTCAGGTCCCCAATATTAATTAATTAATCGAGATCAGGATTGAATAATCCTTGCATCCTTCCAATTTCTTACTTTTTCTTTTTCTACTCTTTTAGAACATATCTCGTATGCAATATATAAAGGTAAAATTTCTTAAAATAAAAATGCTTATGTTACAATTTTGATAAATATATCAAGAATGATATTGATAAATGATTAATTCTCAAAAGAGAAACGAAAAATATGTGAACAACATTGTGTAATTATATCTTCGGAATATATATGTATATCTATATATACAGATCTCGTTACTAATTAATGTTTAACGTTTTTCTATTTTTCGATTTGAAATCGTAATGTTATGGGGGAAGAAGCGTGACACCCTGTTTGTATGCTGCAAAATAGTGAACTAAAGAATGAAAAAAATGTTTATCGATAGGACCAGCCTATTCTCAGAATAAATAATTCTGTAAACATTTGTGTGACAGGCATGATTATATCCTACATTATATGCGAGCGCAAACAATTATCTCAACGACGAGAGATAAGGTTGACAAGTCATGCGCTGTACTGGCTGATAGAGTCTTCTTTGTACCGGACTAGCGGTAACATTATCGTTTGATCCGAAATTATAAGAATTGGGATCTCTAGATAAATCAGCGATGCCTGTTTCTGCAGGACGATTCTCTTGGAGCGGAGAATCTCCGTTGCCGACCTGAGACTGCGCGGCAGCTTCGTTCCTCTTGCGGAATTTTGTCGAGTACTTGTAAAAGTCCGACATTTCGAAAGGCTTTGTCACTTCTCTATATGGTTGATATTTTCCTGGCTGCACAACCGTGCAATTTTGCGGTGAGCCTAACGGTCGTATCACATTATCGCAGACGTCCATGGATGGCTTTGATTCGGCCGGTATTTCCAATACTTTCGACCTAGTCATGGGCTGATCATAACGAGGATGAGATTGTTGTACTGAGTGCTGCCGCTCCTCAGGATTATCTCGCTTGTGACGATTCGCAGGGCTTATTGGCAGTGACGGACCGCCCGTCATCTGATTATCTCTTACGTTTTCATTAGTGGCAGTTTTAATACGAGCAAGCGGTGGACTCGATTGATAATGCACATTTTTTCGTGCGGCGATCAGATTGTGATCCAAGCCTGCACTCACTCCTGCATCCAACGATGTTTCGTACCACTCTTTCTGACGACTTTTACGATTGTTATTGATGTATTCCGTCGCATCCTTACCATCGTGCGAATCATGCGAATGACTCGAGTTCCAGGTCTCTACGCTTCCCAATGACTGTGTACGCAGCAGCATCTTGTTGTTCGTTGGCATTTGTTGCTCGGATAATGGCAGCAGATGAACGGAGTGATGCTGATGGGATGACGCAGTGACGTTGCTGCTCGACGAGCTTTTAGTACACGCAACAGCAACCGTGCGATAACGCGATTGCGTGTCAAGATTTGCCTCACTGACACTATTGTGTTGAGCATTTCGACGTCTACGATCTAAACTGCCGAATCTGTCAGGTTCGTCTGTGCTCACCCAGTGAATATCATCATGATGGCGCACCCAATAACCGGATGGCAATGGAGCCTCGATCGATGTACTGCCACCACTGTGCCGCGAAATGTTTTTAACGCAGGATGATAATGACGAGTCACGATCTCGCCTCTGTAAAATTTGCTGAGATTGCGCGTTGTTCTTATAGTAGGTCTGGTAATCAATGGGCAAATAATGAGATGAGCGAAAATCTCTGTCGTAGGTTCCCTGTCCGCTTCGCCGTAAGATATCCGCATTATCGAGGTGCTTGTATTCAAAGGAACCTGAATACTGTAATCTGTGAGTATGATGCTGCACTTGATCCTGCAATTGTTGTTGCTTCTGCATATGCTGAAATTTAAGGTAGCGCATTTGACGTTCGTCTTCGGTATATGTGTTCGGCACGTAAGGTCGATACATTCTCTCGGTATCCTGATAATGACCTCGAGATCCGCCGCTTCCATGGGAATACGTACGCGCGCGATACTGATCGGGTAAAATGTAGACATTGTGATTATCATTGTGATCGTGTTCCACGATCTTAATGTTCGATTGTTCAACAGGGCTTATGCCGGGATATGTGCCACTGTGATAATGATGATTGCTAACACTCGGTATGGTTAATTGCTCCTCGTATCCATGTCCGCTGTAAGTATTCGATTTGTCCTCAGGTGCCAAGGGACTCAAACTAATACCAGGTTCATGAAGAATACTTCTTCCAACAGATTTCGGACTTATTATCTCATTTCCTGTATACAAATTATATGTTATAGATTGAAACGTTATTTTGTAAAATTATAAGAATTGTAATAATTTTTCTCTAACACACACATGCATATATATATATAATACCTGTACTATCTAAAGGTGGTCGTGGCTTCTTTGTCCTATGCTTTACATTAATATGTGAATGTGGTTGCGTATTATAATTTCCTGTATTCACTGGCAATTGAGTTGGACGCTGTGTTTTACCACGAGTCTGCCTGATAAAGTTCAGTTGCGTCTCCAACTCTTGTAGTCTTCGCTGACTTTGCTGATAAGCGAGTCTGTGCTTGCGTCGTGTAGCCTTACTTTCCATAGGATCGTTAATAATACCCAACGCAGCTTCCACAATTCCAAGCTGTATTTGTTTTTCCAACTCCAATTCAGATTCCTCCTACATACCGTAAATAGAGGATATAACTCCAATCTAACATATTTACATCGATTTTTGTACCATTACATTTAAAACAAAATCTTACAACATCAGATGTCTTCAACTTGAGAATCAATTTTTGTGGATGTATAAAGGAAGTGCCCACTTTTCTACGAAAAGTTGGTGGACTTTCACCAGGCTCCAGAGGTATTTCCGGTGGTAAAACTCCGGTTAATTCCGCCTCTTCTATGCACAGGTTTTTCAACTCATTATTTTTTTGAGCAAGCTTCTCTTGTAAGGCTTCTCTGCGCTGACGTAGCCATTGCAGTCTTGCAGATAATGGATCATCTGCCAAGGCTCCTGGCACATTTTCGTTTCCTGCCATCACTAGGCAAATATAAAAGAATGATTTCAGTATGACGCAATTAATTATAAAAGTATTAAATGTTATATTATGTATTGTTGATTGTATTTACCCATATTATTGGATAAGGTATTAGCAAATGGGTCAGCTGTAATCTTTACGATTGTCCTAGTTAATGCATCTTGATGACAGCATATCTTAAACTACGATATCATTTAAGTATTGTTTATTGTTTCATATCAACGATACTGGAAGTAAGTCCTTAATTTTCAAACATTCTTTCTTTGTAGATAAACTGCACACAATCAGTAGTGAATAAAGTAAAATCTCTAATAAAAAGTTCTGATAATTAAAGACGTTCTGTAACATCGAAAAGTTTTTTTTTTTAATAAACAATATTTTTGAAAGTTCTCTAGTTTATATAGTTACATGACATAAAAATACCTAGATTTTTATGTGTTTTATTATTTTTATATAACTGTCCTAATTTTTTTCTTAATAAACTTATAAATCGCTTTACGTGTCTTTAAAATTTTCTTCAGCTTCTAAGCAAAGTCCACTAAGGCAAAGTCTTTATCCTATTCGTTTCTGTGATAACGCTTTAGGTTAAACGTTATAAAAATGTGTAGATTACTTTATCAATTTACAAGTACTTTATCAATTTCAGCCAATTGATTGCAAAATCAGATGCCGCTTATATATAACAGCGGATTCAGATAACTGTTTCATTCGTAATCTTAGAGACCGTATGTCATAACGTTTCAGTATTCAAAGCGAGTTGAATCGACGCTAAGAATAATCATGATTTTTACCATCGATTCCTCGCAGAAGAAATGCGTCGTATGCCTATCAGAAAGACGTAAACACAAGACTTTAATATCTAGCTCACAAACAGCAGTGTCGTTAACGCGTGAAGAAAAACCGAGGAGAAACATCGACTCTGGCCGACTCCGATTCCGGACTTGAGTCACGCACTTTTTATTAAGAACGTATTCGTATCTATTCTACTCGAATCTACTCTAAGCTACGCCAGTGTTCGTAGTACGCACGCTATTGACTTTCCCACCAGCTGCACTACGATGGAAGGAATCCCACTCCTTTTCATCTAGAACGGATTGTTGATTGTTGATGCATAACTGATGCGAAGCGTGTATGTACACCGAGCAGGTGTGTTCGAAAAACGTTGGACTTAAGTTTAAACGTCCAGTTCGATCACTTGCCGCGCAATGAAGATTCCAGCAAATGAGAATGGATTGAAATGAATTGAAATGGATTCAGATTTTCATAAATATTGATTCACGAATATTAAAATGAAATTTTCAATTTTGAATGCATTTTTATTCATTTATAGGAATTGGAGCATATCTCTATGCTTTTTAATCTAAAAATAATATTAGTTTTTTCTGTGCACACAAATACAATTGTGAATACTGCTCAATTTAAAATTTTGAATAGGAAATGCAATTTTTTCAATCCAATTGCATCTAATTGAATCCAATTGAATCTAATTAAATCCCAAAAAAGTATTTGCTATTTAAAATACGCATTCGGATAGAAAAAAATTCCAATCCATTTTAATCCATTCTCGTTTACTGGATTGAACGGTTCGGCATTTATATGAGTAAATTAAGTGTTGCGTACGTATGAATGAGAAATTAGTATATGAGATTAGTAATAAGAAATATGTAAGTTAAAAACAGATAACATAATTGTTTACGCAACGTTAGATCAATAGATAAAAATTTAATTTTGATTTTTTTTTTTTGTGAAATGATCATGACGCAGGAGAATATCTAGATGTGCAACACGCGCGCGATGCGAACCACGAGCGTGCTGAAGTTGGCGCGCGTACATTTGGCGGCGACTAGGGCGCGTACACACCAGTACACCAGTATACAATAGTAGTACACACCGGTCTGCGTGCAAGGCGAATGACTTTTAAAAAAACGCATGAAAGAGAGGGAGAAAAGGGAAGAAGAGAGAAAGAGAAAGAAGGGGAAACGCCACGGACGGAACGAAGGAGTCAACGTTCGGATAACGTCGTCGTCGGGTTCGTCGGCGTGGAGGATGACGACGACGGTGTCGCGGGTGCACGAACCCGCCCTGAGCGGAATCAACGGAATCGACGATGTGCGCGATTGATCGATGTCGTGGCCGCGATGCGCGCCGAGGCCGTGCCGTCAGCCACCGCCGTGCGACATGCGAGAGCCGAGACCGCTGAGACGTCGTTAGTCAAACCGTCGATTGACCGAGCGAATAGAAGAGCGTGCGTATTCCGGGGAACTGGACTGAACGGGGCTGAACGGGACAACGCACACCTTCTCTCGAGCCGCGAGCGAGCGTGAGCGAGCGCAAAGGGCGGATAGAGACGATAGAGTGGAATACACTATACAGTGAGTGAGAGAGAGGGGTAAGAAGAGAGAGAAGGAACGAGTAAAAGCGAATTGAATTCCTGCGCTCGACGGTAACGTACGGTGCCGGAATTGCAGCCCAACTATATACGATAGTCTGTTTCTCTTTGCAACGGTGGGTATTTGAGAGAGATAGACTGAAGGCGGGGAGCAACGACAAAGAAAGAACGAGAAAGAAAGAAAGAGTGAGAGGAAACAATTGGGAGGGAGTACGTTTCGATAGAGTGAGTTTAAGAGCAGCGACGAAGAGGAATCTAGAGTAGATACCATTGGGTACGACCGAGGAACCTGGAGGGATCGAAGGATTGAGTACAGGCGTGCACGGAAAGCCGAGGGACCGTTCCACGATGGACGAGTGCATGTTGAACGACTTGTTGGAGTGCTCGGTATGCCTGGAACGACTCGACACGTCTAGCAAGGTACTGCCGTGTCAGCACACGTTTTGCAAGAAGTGCCTGGAGGAGATCGTCAGTACCCATCGCGAGCTACGTTGCCCAGAATGCCGTGTCCTCGTGGATGCCAAGGTGGACGATCTGCCGCCAAACGTGTTGCTGATGCGTATCCTCGAGGGGATGCGCAACGCCGCGCCGAAAAATCAGGCCAAGTCCGTACTACCGTTGTCGAGGTCCTCGGGTGGCACTGCCGTGCCCCAACGGCTGTTTGGTGGTCACCAGGTTGCTCCGGCTCCTATTGTCACCGGCAATCTCGCACCTGCCATCGCCTCCGAGCCGGCAGTACGACATTCCAATGCTGCCGCCAAGCAGGTGCATCTACATAATCAAGCGTACGGAAGAGCGATCTACGATTATGTCTCCAAAGTACCAGGGTGAGCATTAGATGTTTGTTTTAGAAGTTGTGCAATCACGTTTTATTTGTATATTTTCTTATCTTGCTGTGTAAATATTATTGTTTATTCTTGTAGCGATTTGAGTTTCAAGAAGGGTGATATAGTCATTCTTCGGAAGAAGATTGACAACAATTGGTATTTCGGGGAATGTGGCAATAATCATGGTGTCTTTCCTTTGTCTTACGTTCAGGTATAATCCAGGCATCTTGAAATATCGACTAGTTTGAATAATGTAAATTTAAATTAATCATAATTTCCTTTATCACAATTTTCAGGTGATGACGCCTTTGACACCGCATGTACCTCAATGTAAAGCGCTATATGATTTTAGGATGACAAATGATGATGAGGATGGTTGTTTAACTTTTAACAAGGTAGTTTCACATATCACTTTCATAATCATTTACCATTAATGTGTCAATGACATGTTTATATGTACAAAATAAATGTATTCCTCAGGGAGAAGTTATCAGCGTTATCCGAAGAGTAGACGAAAATTGGGCAGAAGGTAAACTTTTGGACAGAATTGGTATCTTTCCGCTGGCTTTTGTCGAGCTAAACAGCGTTGCTAGAGCTTTAATGAAACTCTCGACCAAGTAAGTAAAACGATTGATTAATATAATTGCCATGTTTTTTTAAGTAAACATGTATTAATTAATGTTTTAATCAGTGTACAACCGGGACCGTCGAGGGTAGCCCCGCCAACTCCGACGAACGAAGAAACCACGCCGTTAATACCAACCGATCATTCGCGTAATGTGCAAACAACGAGTCAATCTCGACCGCAATTGGTGCAGGTATACATTTCTGATCAAGCATTTGGATGCTTTCTAGCAAGAAATAAGTATAAGATACAGTCATGAATCATTGTTATTCTTATTTATTAATGTTAAATAGAAATAAAGAGAGATTTATTATACGCTATATTTGTAACTCTTTCTAGAAAGCACTCTTTACTAGTTCAACATAAGGTGTGTTTTGTAAGACATGTGTTTTGATGTTATATTGCACAGAACGCTGCATTACAGGTGTCTGATTCTGTCTCAAACGTATCGTCTGGTGGCAGCTCCACAACCACTACTCCAAACACTCCCAACAGTTCGACTACGTCCAGCAGTTCCAGTACTGCTCCGAGTAGTCCTGGTAGTCCTGCAACGTCACCGCCGGCGGTCGGCAACAGACATAATGTTAAACGTCATAGTTTCACTGCCGTCAATACAGGTCACCATGCACATCCCCATCATAGACATAGCGCTGAAATACTTAGTCCTCCGGTAGACAGTGCCCCTAATAACGCCAATAATAGTGGAGGCAATGAGTCATTTTCCTCCTTACAAGTAAGGGAACTTTATTTATGTTTTTCTAACAATTTCTGTATGGATAGCTACATATATGATCATAAGTCTCTCTTGTTTTTTTATATTTTGACATTTTTTAAATACTAAATTTGAATTTTCTTTTATTAGACGAGCGGTAGTTGTACGGATCATAATCTTCGTCATAGACGAAGTGGTAGCAGCGATCTTGTTCTTGCTCAGGCGTCACAAAGTATATCTACTGGCCAGACTACTACTAGCGCATCCACTGCGACGCATCTGCCAGCGGCATATGTAGCATTGTATCCATACAAGCCCCAGAAAGCGGATGAGCTTGAATTACGAAAGGGTGGGATTTACATGGTAACGGAACGCTGTCAAGACGGATGGTTCAAAGGAACGTCTAATCGTACTCAGAAGTGCGGAGTTTTTCCTGGAAATTACGTTGCACCTGCCAAGTAAGCATTTGCGTTCTAATCTTTGTCTCGTGGGTTAGTCTGGTCATTTCTAAGTTACAGTTTCCGGTATATTTGCAGCAGATGTCAACGCGGGCTGTGCCGCGGATCTCCAAATTCACCGAGTCAACATCAAGGTTCGCCACTATCAAACGCCCCATCGAATACTGAGTCACGTTTGGCGGTAACGTACACAAAGAGCAAGGGTCCCGCGCCACAACCGTACAATCCTCGTACACTGCCGCCGCCTGAATTACCACCGCGTGCCATCAGCCCATCCACGACGACAACTGTATCTTCGTCCTGGCAC